ATATATATATATATATATAGAGGGGTGCATGGGTTTCACCTCGCGTTCTTCCCCCCTCATCTTCGAAGGACCAGGACCTGCTCGCAGCTCGGCAGTCCGCCGCCTGGGAGGACTTCTGGACACAGGAGACCACCGAGATTCTAAGGCTTTGGGTTTAGGGCTTATAGGNNGGTTTAGGGTTTAGGGCGGTGCTTTGTGAATTATTATCACCGCGATTCTGGGATTCTGGTGAAAGTGGCGGTTTGGGCCGGGGGTTATACATTATCTTCATGCGGTCTGGAGTGTAAACATGAAATGCGGCGTTTCGCTCTTGAAAGGGAAACTTTGACACGCAGCGCGTCAGACCTTCGTTGGCACAGTACTGAGAGGATTTCATGGGATTTCCATATCTTCCTCCACACAACACCTCTGGCTGGCTGGGGTTCTCCGGGTTTCTTGCCTCTACCTTGCAGATTCCCAAAAGCGTTTGTAGCGAATTTGCCCATCCTCACGCAAACTTATACGGCGTGCCAACCGAGACTTCGAAATGTACCAATATTGGATAGGATTCGGTATGGACGCAAAGGATAACAAGCCTACCCTGCCAAGCACGGACCCCCACCGCTAAATTTTCAATCGGTCTGAAACATAGCTCAGATTTGCCTGTTTGCTTGTGTTCTCTTGAATGATTCCTTGCATGGCTGTCCGACAGGCGTCCAACAAGGCAGAAGCACTCACAGAAAGAGGAGCAGGACCGGAGCGGAGCACGGAACGCTTTGTACTACACTGGCTTGGCTGCCATTTCCTGTCCGGTTCCTGGCAGTTCGATTGCCCTCAAAGAAGCACGCAACAAAAACTTGAAGCAATCCATGCTTCAAGAGGACACCACCAATCCTCGGAGCAGGCACGGAGTCAAGGACTTGCTGCAGTGCATCGCGAAGTGAAGTCTTGTCTGGAGATGTCGGCACTGTGCCACGTAAAATACGCCGATTATGTGAGCGATAGTTGGTGATGATGGTGCAGCCGAGAAGGGTACTTTGGAAAGACAGATCAACTGTGGATGCACGCGGCAGTGGGCGAGTGGCAACGCAGCGCAATACCATGGACAGACCGCGACAAAGATGGCGAGAACAAGGAAGAGCGAGAAGGGTTGAAAAGGCACAAAACAAGGAAAGAAAGCGAGCGACAGAGCGAGACAGGGATTGACAGACAGAGATTGAGAGATGAGAATGTTGATTGCTCTCAGTCGTGCTGTCGGATGCCCAAGCCTTCGAATCTCGGGCACTCAGCTCATGCTGAGCAGGAACATATGGAAGACTCCCGGACTCTCACCTAGCCCAACATGACTCCCGGTGCCATGGGCATTTGGGCAATCTGGCTGCGCATTCCAGGTTCTGGCACGTGAGCATGTAGAGCGAGTGAGCGGGCAGAGAAGACGAAGGCGAAGAAAACAAGATCAAGCAGAAAAGATGCCTGCCAGAGCGCGGGAACAAAGAGGAGTTTCGCGTGCCCAACGTATCCAAGATCCGGCAGAGGCCGCGACTGAGCCTGGGCAGTGAGGTTGTAATGGACTCGAGCATGGAAGCCTGGTTCGAGTAAGAACCCAGCTCAGCTTTTGGAACTGTTACGTGAAGTGTGCTGAGAAAGCCGTTCAATGTGCACGTTCCACTCCTCAGCCTTTGTCTAGACCTCGATGCCACATGGAACACCTCCGAACTGTTTTCTTCCTACATGGGTGCTTCATGAACTCCTGATCCGAGGTGTTGGAGTCTTGCAGCCTCATCCTTGGATTCCATCCCGACCAGGTGAACCTGGTCGAAGTTCAGTTAGCATGGCGCGGCATATCGCGATTCCGTGCGGCACGGTAGTTTTCCGGGCCTTGGCACAAGGATTCAAGTGCTAGCTTCCGACCATGAGACGGAAACCGTGAGCCTTGGAAGAGGTGTAATGTGTCACTATACTCGAGGCCGAACGTGAGCAAGTTAGCCAAAGCGCCTGAAACTGCAACGAAACGAGATCCACGTCGACCATGAAGGAATGTTAAAGGGCTTCTTATTCTTGTACTTTAAAACCAGTTCCGATTCGCCAGGCAACAGAGCCTGCTGTCGACCTCGCGGTACAACAGCAGATTTCCTTCGCAGTGTGTCCGTGCTGTGTCTTTCCGCCACTTGTCAGAAGCGCAAATATGTACATAGTCTTTGCGAGAAGTACTTACCGCATTTGTAGCTTTGTGTGGCTTGTGTTTTGTGGTGTAGCTGGGAAGCCTGCTTAACTGCGATGGCCCATTGTTCCCTGCATGCGTAAGTGCTATAGGATTTCTTTAGGTTCGGGGCCAGGAAGATCTACGTAACCTGAGATCAAAGTGCCGACACGCCTGACTGCCAAGCCGCCCCAGCCCAGGAAAGAATTCCCGCAGAGAAAGCTGTGTGGTCATCGCGTGAAGACCTACCCAGCTTCTCGGCACCTTCGGCAGTTTTCACGTCTGAGGTCCTCCTTTGCACTTAAGTCTCCCTTGCTCTCCCAACCGCCCCATGGCACGATCGTCGTCGTCGTCGTCGTAACGCACCTTGTTTCGCTTGTGCTGGCGGCTTTTCCAGCCGAGGCCTATCCTGAGATGGTGCTTTAACCATGAAGGCTGTAAGTAGAGCAGCAGGTGCAGATGTGCAGAATCCTGCTTGCTGGGTCAGGTTTGTCTAGGAGGCTTGGGGTAGCTACAGTATCTTGCAAAAATTGGCTGCTGTGGCTATGACCGATCTTTTTGAAGCGATGGAGTCTGCCTTGGGGCAGGAAAGGACTTCCTACGAGTGGACCCTGGCTTTCGCAATCGCCCAGATTCCGGTGGTGCTTTTTGTCCTGGCGAGCACCGGTGGATTTGCCTTGGTCCGGAAGTTGCCCCAGTGGCTGTGGCGCTGCTGCAGATGCTTCTGCTTCCGGAAGAGCCAGGAAGGGGACCCCAAGCTCAAGGAGCTCCAGGATCAGTACCGGATGCAGATTGCGAAATCAGCGGCAGCTCTGGGACTACTCTTGAGTGCGGCATATCGCCTGTATCAGCTCCAGAATGGGACGCTTGATGAACGGACCCATCGTGATGCCATCTTGCTCGCCTGGGAGGTTGTGCTGCTTTCTGTTCTGCTACTTATTCTGTGCGGGAAGATGGCATGGCGATGGATGAACTTGGCTTACTTCCTCTTAATGTTGATTCTGGCCAGTGCTGTCCTGCCAGGCATGATAGGACCAGCAAACCTCATCATTGCGATCTCGATGACTTGGCTTCTGCGATGCTCCATCCTGCCACTGACTAATTCGGTCGAGCTAGTGCTTGTTAGCAATTTGATCTGCCACGTGTGCATGCGAGTTTCCACTGCGAGGATGCTGGAGATGATTCCAGGTAACAGGTCTGCCATGTGGCGCGCTCGGGTCGAGTTTTACATACGTTTCGTTGACAGTTCCGTCGCCATTGACACCGTGCTGTCCTTGTTATCCTGCCTAGCCAGCATAGGGCTACAGCACACGACTAGCTCCATTGTGGAGAAGAGCTTGGAGGCGGCGATGTTAAAAAACGAGGCCAGGGCTTGTGAGTCCCTCTTGGCGACATTCTGTGAGGCACACCTTTTCTTAGACTCAGATCTCCGACTGGTGAAAAATGTACCGAATCTTGCATCCATGCTCTTCCGTGCCAGCAACAATGCTGGCACCGACTTCATGCAGTGCCTGGCGACTGCAGACGACAAGGAGCGCTTCATAGGAGGAGTGAATCGGCCGGATGCCGAGCGACCTTTCCTGGCGCAAGCAATGCATTTGGCTCTCCGTGATGGCTACGGAAACACGGTGCCCGTGGAGTGCTTCCACGTGAAGACGGTGGATGGCCACGGAGCGGTTCGACACCTCGTGGGCCTTCGGGAAGACACGGAGGCCAAGATGGCTCCACACGGCTCACCACAAGCTTCCCCACAGGCTCCTGCGAGCTCTCTCCCTCAGACCGACAAGAGCCTCAGCGAAACCTCCTCCAGTGGCTCCGAAGAGGCCTTTCTAATCTTCGATGCTGCGGAGCTGGACATCATGGGCGTGTCCCCGAACTTCCTGGATGCAACAGGCATTGAAATACCGGATGAGGCGAAGTTCTCAGATGTGGTGGATTTCAATGTTGACTTCCAAAGGCGGTTGGCAAAGGTCATTAGTAAGGCAGGAAGACAGGCAGCAAACGCAGACCTGGAGAATCCAAAACCAGCACACTTCCGGACGCAGCTCCGAATGAGAATGAGCAACTATGCGGCACTTGCGGAGGCTGTTTAATTTGCAGTGTGATCCTGTAATTCGCCTGTATTGAATTCTTCATCGAATTGAACTACTCTTCGAATCGAGACCCTGATCATGATTCAGCCCAGGAAACGGTGGTGCAACTAAGTCGAGTTGGAAGTTTAATGTGCACAAGCAGCATGGGCAGCTCATCGTGCAAGGGATCCTCCTGAAGACCGTTGATCGGCTAAGCTCTCCGCGCGGCTCCGGCCGCAGAGGCATCAGGAGAAGGCTCTCCGAGCCTTTGGCCTCGCTTCCTGAGACCGTAGGCAGAAGCTTACCCTTGTAATTAGAGTCCGAAGTCCGAGCTCTCCAGTATCCTCATATTTTGCATAAAGGCATTGTCCCCAACGTTTGTTCAGCGGTTATAAGTGCCGCTTGTTTCACCATGTCTTACCATGTCCGTATCAGTGTGTGGAAGGGGTTCTCGTGGCTCCTGAACGCTTACGTTCTCTCCTTGTGTCAGTTGCAGAAATACATGATCTGGCAAATGCACGTCCCAGCTGGCCTCCAGCTTAAGTGCCAGAAGCTCCGCCAGCGCCTGTCCGAACTTTACCGAACAGCGTCAAAATGCGCGATGCTGCAGTAGCAGTCGAAATTGCTCCATGCTGTTAGCGAGCCAGGGCAGCGCAAGACAACTGTTGCAGTTTACAGTCGCTCCGTTTTTTGTCCTTGTGGCCAAGGAATTTATCGAGTATTTGCGCCAGAAGCACCCCTCCATGCGCACTGTGGATTTGGCCTTTGAGCCCGAGGGCGGATATGCAAGAAGTACCGTTCTTTACATGAAGGCAGAGGATTTTGCACGGCTGGACTCAAGTATATAGGCTGATGTCGAGATGACCTACAACCTGGTGAGAACGGTGAGATCTCAGGCGCATCGCCAGCCAAGGAGGCAAGTCTTGCAGATTGCTTGGCGAAGCAGACAAGCAGACGCGCCTTCGTCGTCACGTGCTGGTTGCAGATTCAATCTGGATGTGATGTACCGTGGCGTAAGGCGTTCTGTTGCCGAATGCTCAGCACAGCACAGGCAGCATTGACTTGGCAGAGGGACCTGGACAGATGTTGTTGCCAAAAGCTCGATTCAGCCAGAAAAGATATGGGTGTCTCAGCAAGTTACCGCCGCATATCACCTAAATGGCAATGGTTTCGTCGTGATTCCTCGCAGGTGGACATTGGCTGGCGCGTGCTGATGCAGTCATGGCCGGTGACCCAGCAATATTAGGGAGCAAGATCGAGTAAAGGAGCCGTCATGCGACGCGCTCCCAACAGTTCAAATCCTGACAATGTAGCTCATAATGTAACCATACACACCCACACGGGGCACGCGCAGAGCGCAAGCTGCGAAGAACGCACAGCAGACACCGGAACATACTTGCGAATCGGTATGCACTTTCGATGTTACGTGGTGGGTTGGAAGTTTCCTGACCCACTTGAAGCCAACACCCAACGGCGGGCGGCACCCCCGTGGCGATGCTTGCAGGATCGAGACGGCACCAGAACGACTCCAGGACTATCTGTACTTGTCGTAGCGGTGCTTCTGCTTCTCAAAAGCTTGGAACCCTTGAAGCTGACAAACAGACGAACAGCTCAAGTAGGCGTCGGTATTGGCGTGAGTCCATAGCTTCTCGTGTTGCATGCACGGTCACCCCCTCTCCGCCAGGATTGCGGCGAGCAGTTGAAAGGTCTTTTTGAAGCAAACATCGACCAGTGCTGGGAGATGTGCCAGCGAAAGGCTCGCTGGTTTCGTTTCTGTTTGCTTCATGAAGAGTGAAGCCTGCCGATTCCAGAGTCCGCAGCACGAATTCGCAGAATGTGTGTATTGCCCCCGCATGCCCTGGTGTCCAGCCACAAACCATTGGCAGCTCAACCCAGCTCGCACGTGCTCCGCAATTACTTGAGATAGGATGTGCACATCCTGCGCAGCCTGGTCTTGGGTTTATGTCGGGTTTCTGGTTTGTGCATTCAGGGCAGATGTTGCGTGTTTCGCATGACATACTTGCAAGGGTGAATCATCGTAATGGGGTTCTCCAGCATGCCCCGATCGGAGACCATGACCAAAGAATCGCGATACAGCAGAGACCAGCGCAACTCTGCAGATCAAGACGCCAGTGCCCGTCACGCAGAACTGGCTGGTCTGCAGCCTGCTCAAATTGCTGATGGCGCTGCACTTACAAAGGCTATAAGGTGCAGGCAAGTTGTGATCAGAATGCGCAGCAGCAAAGCAGTGTAGCTCAATAAATGAAAAAAATAGGGCACACGGGCACATGCAGCACGCATCGGCACGCTTAGTCACAGAGACGCCTGAGACTTCGGCCACTTCGGCCAGCGACCAAGGCGTTACTGAGATGCGAGCTTCCACTCGACCCCGAGAAAGACAAGCAGGAAGCATCAGACCGCGAGTATGGACACGAAAAGTAGTATTGATCCTATCGATAGCTGTGCCTTACATCAGATACATTTAGATTCCCACTGTTGGAGTCGCGAGCTTTTCCGGATGGTTTCAGTCCTCTGGAAAGCCGCTTGAAGCGCAGCGAGTCGCTGTTAGTTGCGATGGTAGAGCTTGGGTTCTAGATCAAATCCGAAGAGGGACGAGGGAGCCTGTTCGACCCGTGATCTGATTTCAGGACCTCCCGATGAAAGAGAAGGAGGTCAAGGTTGAGAACATGCCTGTACCTCGGAGGACCAGCCGTTTTCTGCCATGAAGTCCAGGCTGGCGCATCTGCAGTTTGCAACCGACCTTTGACACGAAGCCTTAACACCTGCAGCCCCTGAAGATGGATGTTGAGCAACCTCGAAACATGGCTTCACTTCCAACTTAAGCCGCAAGCATATCGCCTGGCATCTCCGAGAGCGAGCCCCGAAAGCCTCCTTTTTCCAGGTTCTGGCTGGCTTTGGTCTGGAGCTTCGGTGCTACGACAGACGGCGCAGGAAGGAAGATCATGAACTCGCGGGGGGTCCCAGTCCGAAGTACCCAAAGCAGGGACCCTTGGGGAGATGTGGCTTTGTGGTGCTTGGAAGAAGTGATGAGGTTCATGCGCCGAGTTCGGTACAGCATACTAAATACTGTATCGGAGATGTAGCTGACTTTAGTTCAGTTCAGGGGTACAGAGCAGGGTGCTAGCAGCACCGAGGTTCATCCGGTCGATCCAGCAGGGAATGCCCGTCAAGGTCCGTCCCTCGTTTCTCAGAATTCACCCTATGAACCCTTAAATCCTGAAAGGCTGCGTGCTCTTCTTGCCTTGCGTTGTTCTGCTGATTCACAGGGGGCGGCCCCACTTGCCCTTCATGGCTGAATTTACAGAGGTGTCTTGTTCCGCATCTCGTGTACTGGCAGAAGAATTGGGAGTGCAAATGATATGAAAGAAAAGCATCCCGCGGCTGCCAAGCACGCGTACACAATCACCCATGCGTGCGCAATCACATGCGCACAGCCTCTGCCAGTGGACGAGCCGAAATGTATCCGCGAGGGAGGCTGAAAGAAAGACTGTTCCATTCCGCAACATGTGATGGTGGGCCGAGAATGCTTGTAGAGCCAGTGCCGGCAGGAAGAGTTTGACCTCATCGCTGACGACCCCACCATGAGGCTCTCCTCACGCCTGTTACGACCTCCTGAAACCTCGACTGGATGAGCGGCAGAGGAAAGCTGTTCGTTGCCATTATGGCTACATGTGATGATTGACATGCAGGCCGGTGACAAAGACTCCTTTCCCAGAGAAGGACACCGTCTATGAGTATTTTGCTTTCGCTCAGCCGCCACCTCAGATGAAGTCTTGTGGGGGGCCTAGTTGAAGAATGCCGGTCATTCTGTCTGGACTTTGATTGCACTCACGGTGGCTTTCGTCGGTGCTAAGTCAGTACTTTGCTTGACTCGTGCAAGGATCGATGTTAACTCTGTTCGGAACGTAGAGCTCGCTGCATGCCACTCCTGACGACGATTAGGCTTGGAGTTTAAGCGCTCGGGTTATTGACCTCATACGATCAGATGAATGTTCTTGATGGCTAAGTCCGGCTAGGTTCCTAGGCCAGCAAGAAAAAGATGGCTGATGTAAGAAGCTTTGGTCCGAACGCAGACGTAGAGTTGCCAAGACGGAACGATTTCGATCCGGTTGCCCTGGTGACGACACCCAGCACACGACTTCAGAAGCAGCACCGTGCCACAGAGTCAACATGCCGATTACGTACGTGAAGAGGGTTCTCAATGTACCTTGCTTGCATCAGGTCCAACAAGTGGGAGAACTGGACGAAGAAGATCTTTGGCAGCAAGTTTGATTTGCTGGCTTAACCAGGAAAGCTCGAATGTTTGTGCCTGGGTCTGTGAGACCATTCCGACTCCATTCGTCCATTCGTTATCTCGGCATCTGCAATTCGTGGCATGAGCGCGGTCTTCTTGGCAACTTTATCGAGGCCCCGCCTCTGAGGCACACTTTTATCGTACGCCCAGACGATGGCATGATAACTCTTCAGTGACAGAAACTCTGTTCTTCGCCTTGAGCCCCGAAACTCCGTGACACTGTCTGCGCCCATGCCAGCTCGACACAAGGATTACTGGCTTCGACATTCCAAAAGAAGCTCTAGCCGGACACCCGGTGCGTGGTTGTTGGGTGTGTGTTTCTGGCGAAGCAGGTGTCATTGAGCATAAGTGATGCTTGTGCTGATTCTGATCTAGTACCGCAATCCAAAGAACTCGAATGCAAACCGCCAGCCCATAACCCTCCCCAAACCCTGTCTACACGCGCATGCTGCGTCGAGCCTTAGGCGGCCATCCATGACGTGACAACAAGTAGCATCACAAGACGATGCACGATTTCAGCATGATAGATGCATGAGCCTCGTTGGATGCCGTTGCCTTCTCGACCATTTCCATGCAGCAACATTGCAAGTTCAATCGTCGTGGTGATATGTCTCCTCATGCGATTATGCTCTATTCCGCACTGCGTTATATGCGAAGATGGTCATTCTGACGTTGATGATGAGAAAGGGGTGATGCACCATGCCCTCCAGTGTCATTGCATCGCAGAGTCATGATTTTCGCTGTTCTTGCGACGGCTACACGGTGGGCCGACCTTCAGGCACACCAGGTGATGGTTCCGACTGCAGACACCGTTCGGAGTGCCTTCCTGCTGCAGTCCTTGGCAAGAGACCCGGGCAGTGATCCCTCCGGCTTCGACTCATCCGGGTGTTGTGGCAGGGGATCAGATTTCGGAGTGGCCCAAAGCCAAAGGGTGTTGACTCTGGTAGGTTGCAAAAATGCAGCCTGCCCATGTTTCTACATGACTTTGCTGTTCGGCACGTTGCTGCTTGTGCCTCTCATGTCGGCCACAGAACCAGAGCGGAGATTCGACCATGAGAAAGCCCCAAGCCCCGTGCCCTGTACTCGGGATGTGTACTTCGCACTGCTCTGGTACACAGTGCCTGATCATGGCCGATCTGGAGAGTTTGCCGCCATGCCGAGGTTGCTTCAGAATATCACATCCTGTACTCCGGCTTGACGGGTACCGGCAAAACTGCCGGCCAGACATGTGTGATCTTGCGTGAAATTCAGGTCCTGACACCATCAGGTCAAACACATTACAGCACACAGGTTTGAGCCATGCTGCAGCGGATGTAGACACTAACTGGGTGACCCATGCCAGGTGGTGATTCAACAAGAGCTGCTGAAGCGTGTCTTGTCTTGTCTTGCAGTTCTGGGGATGTATCAGCACCGCCTGAGATGCCTGAATGTGCTGTCGGCGCTCTCGAAGCCTCAGACCTGCAGGTGCTGTCGGGTGCTTCCCAATCCGGAGCCCAAAAATGCAGTACTGAGGATTTGACAAAGACAAGTACACAGCGTGGACCTCAGACGGGTCCAGAGATTCCGAACATTTGCCTGCTTCTTCAGTGGCTTTCTGTTTGTGTTCCGGTGGGTTTGCAAACGGAGTTGAAGCTCAGAGCTGTGACTTGCGCAAAATCTTGGCTGTCCGAGTTATTTCCAACATGGATTTGCTACCTGAGGTGATCTCGTTTGCGTTCAGCGCCCAAACCAACGCGAACCAGACGCAGGAATCGGGTGCCGTGCAACCGGCAATGATGCTGACATGTGCTGCCTATGTGGTATGTCCCCCTAACCCTCCAGGTACCTTTTCAAGTTCACTTCGGTACGGCCTGTTGCTGTTATAGGTTGCTGCAGCATTGACTTTCGACGGTGCCGACACACTCTTGAGAGATTTCGTATCTGGCCCATCAACAGGACATCATTGATGGCAAGCTTGACAAGCGAAAGAAGGGCACCTATGGACCTCCTTTTGGCAAGAAGTGTTGTGCTGAGTATCTCAGCAACATGGATAGGAGGAGTCCGCGAAATGCTTTCTGGACACTTGCTGTCACATGTTCTACATGTTGGCTGTTGTCAAAGGTCCAGTAAGTGGTTTGGGATTTTCAGAACGAAGCATACCAGACCACAATTCTCCGCTACATTTGTCCAGCACAGCTTTGTCGGAAATGTGGCATGCTGGTGCAATCTGACATCCATAGACTCGACTTGTACATGCTTTTGTGCAGAATCCCGCCGCATGTATGGGAATCTTAACTTGGTGCTGTTTTGCATGGTCAGCCAACTTCCAACAGCAAGTTCCCAAAAACCGCATGGTCTGGAACACCGGAGGCTCGTTTTCACTGAACTTGCCATTTCCTGTTTCGGCCAAGGTGCTTGCTGTTCATCGATGATCTGAACATGCCTGCCAAGGTCTTGCAGAGTTGGCAGTTTCGGATTTGTGTTTACGGATTGAAGCTCAAGGCGTTGACTCTTTAAACTCCATGGACGAGCTTCGGGCCGCTCGAAGGTAGTCGCAAATTACAGCATTCGCCCTGTCAGAATTCTGAATTCAGAATCAGAAATGCAGTGGACATGTTCCCGAATCAACTAGCACCTTCATTGCAGTATAGAAGATTTGTCAGGTGCAGCATAATGCTACATTGGTTGCACGTCAACTCCCATGACAACTCGAAAGCCCATCTCCACAAACACATACATATGGTGCTTCCGCAAGATTCGTGGCTCAGCTTTGGGTCCCCAGGAGAAGTATGGTGCTCAGCCACCGATTGAGTTGCTACGCCAGTGGATGGCCGCGGCCTCGTAAATGGAAGCTGCTAGTTGTCTTCGTTGCCTCGCGGGGTTGGGGTTTGTAACAATCTAGGCAGGTCCTTC